AGGACCATGACTTGCTGGCTCCCAGTCTCCTTTGTCCTTAGAGAGGTTTCGGCAGCAATATCATCAGACATGTTAGTTTGCTGCAGGCTCAGCACTCTATACTTTGTCTCTCTTAGAGCTCAGGGAAGCAGAGATGTCAACACTCACTGGGAACTGTGTGCATCCTGGGTGAGACCTGTGAGGCTGGAAGAGCCACTGGACTCATCATGCCATGGCAACGCTATTTTAGCTTGACCTTAGATCCGGTTCACACTATAGAAACGCAGTCCAGATGCGCATTTTTGACATTTTTTTGATGTGTCAAAGTGCGTTTTTTATGCACTATTGTTTCAATTGAAATAGGGACATGTGCATTCCAGTGCATTTTACCGCATTCCAGTACAGTTCCGTGTAGAAAAATGCAGCCTGTTCTACTTCTTTTTCTGCAGCTAGAACACACTGGAACTGCAAGCACTGATGTGAACTATGACATTGACAACCATGTAACCTACTTTCTGTGCCTTCTGGATGCACAAAAAAAGCATCTGAAATGCATTTAGTGTGAACTGGCTCCTAATGCAGGCCATAGATGGGTCGAAAATCGGCCGATTTTTCGGCCGAAAATAAAATCGGCCGATTTTCGGATCGTTAGTGGGCTATTTGTTCGGCCGTTTTTCGGTATTTTGGCCGTTTTTTTTAATCGGGAAAGTTGGAAAAAAATCGGCCGATTTTGCTGATCGGCCGATTTTCGCGGCAATAATGGGCTAATCAGCCGATTTTTTACCGATAAAAAATCTGCGCATAAGCAGTGACCTGCAAGAGGAAGACAAAAAGAAGAAAAGAAGAAGAGGAAGAAGAAGAGGATGAAGAAGAAGAAGAGGGTGATGATGATGAAGAAGAAAAAGAAGAAGAGGATGATGATGAAGAAGAAGAGGATGATGATGATGAAGAAGAAGAGGATGATGATGATGAAGAAGAAGAAGAGGATGATGACGATGAAGAAAAAGAAGAGGATGATGACGATGAAGAAAAAAAGGAGGATGATGACGATGAAGAAAAAAAGGAGGATGATGACGATGAAGAAAAAAAGGAGGATGATGATGAAGAAGAAGTAGAAGAAGAGGATGATGATGATGAAGAAGTAGAAGAAGATGAAGAAGAGGATGATGATGACGAAGAAGAAGAAGAAGAAGAAGAAGAAGAAGAGGATGATGAAGAAAAAGAAGAAGAAGAGGATGATGATGATGATGAAGAAAAAGAAGAAGAGGATGATGATGAAGAAGAGGATGATGATGAAGAAGAGGATGATGATGAAGAAGAGGATGATGATGAAGAAGAAGAGGATGATGATGAAGAAGAAGAAGAAGAGGATGATGATGAAGAAGAAGAGGATGATGATGAAGAAGAAGAGGATGATGATGAAGAAGAAGAGGATGATGATGATGAAGAAGAAGAAGAAGAAGAAGAAGAAGAAGAGGATGATGATGATGATGAAGTAGAAGAAGAAGAAGAGGATGATGATGAAGAAGAAGAAGAGGATGATGATGAAGAAGGAGAAGAAGAAGGATGAAAAATAAGAGGAATTCCAGTCCGGCAAAAAGTGTCCCTGCAGAGAGCTCCGCTATTTCTTTGACAGTTCTTTGACATTTACAGAGGTTGCAACATTGTTTCTATTTGTTTCCGAATAAAAACATCTGTATCCTAAATGGATACAAATAGATACATTGTTGCAACCTCTGTAAATGTCAAGGAATTGTCAAAGAAATAGCAGAGCTCTCTGCAGAGACACTTTTTGCCGGCTGTAGACGGGATGAAAATCGGCCGATTTTTTTTACCATTGGTGGTAACGTCGGCCAGTTGAACGACCGATTTTTCGTTTTTTTAAAAGAAAAATCGGCCGATTTTCGACCCATCTATGGCCTGCATTAGCAAGAGCGAGAGTGGGCTGGGTTGTACCAGAAGATGAAGGTCACACTCATGGAAAGGCACTCTTTTTCCTCTTCTCTCGTACCACACTGATGGTCCGTACCTGAGCACATGGAGGTCTTGGTTATGTGGCAGAAGGCTCATGTTGCAGCATGGATGTTAGCACAGCGCTGAAAGTAACTAAGTAAAATGAATGACTCAAAGAAAGAAGCAAACAGATCATAGACATGTGCCTGAATCATCTCCCTCCCCCCCTCCTCATTCATCTGAAGCATAAGCAAGGGAAAACAGAAGATCATCTCCAGTACAAACCCACCTTGCACATGCGTGAATCTGGACATGCCTAAAATATGGTTGCCACAAGAGGCTCTCTGCAGAGTGTATGTGTGGATGCCATAGCCAGCCATGAGACCGCAAACACCGGAACCAAACCGTTTACACATGCTGGTCACAGAAGAAAACCCCTCAAATCACTCTCAGAAGGGAAAAATGACAAAATCTAATGAAGATAGAGGCAAGAGATAGCACTAACCTGTGGAAGAAAAGAAAAAGGCAGCACTAACTCCAGCACCTTGATCCTGCTCAGGTGTGCAGAGAAACACATGCAGCAAACAAACACTAGCTCAGGTGCAACACATGAGGGTCTGATGTCTCTGGTTAGAGAACTCCTCAGCCCCAAAGAACCACCAGAAGGGGCTCATCACCTTGTTGGTGCATTTAGCAACCTAAGATGCAGGACTGCGCCTGGGAGAGGCTAAACCCAGGCGGACTCCGACTCAGTTGGCAGGTAGGGACTTATTGAAACATCACAGTCTTGCAGGTATAGATCTTGAGGACAAAAAGAAGAGAATGGAGGTTGCTCTCAGTTAGACTTGTATAGATATACACAGGTCCTTTGGGTGGATATAGGGGCGTTGATATATCACATGTATGCTACCATGTTGGCATCAGGAAAAGGTTTTGCCTGTAATTCTACTTTAAAGAATCTCACTCTCCTTAAGTAGCTTGTGTATCATAAAGATCCAATATGGAAATACACCAGCTGCTGAAGGGGACAGAGACTGTTTAATATTTCATTTGCCAGATTTTATTTACAGTTCAAGTCTTTTAAGTCTCTCTTAAACCCTGATGAAGGGGGCAAAATGTATTGGGTATTTAGTGTATCACATGTTTGGAATAAAATCTCAATTTTGGAATTTAATATTTTGATGTGCTGCTCCACTCATCTGATCCAACTATTACACGTTATTTGTTGCAATGGAGTTCAACAAGTGAAATGCATTGGTTACAACCAGCCTGCCTGGTTATACTGCAGTAGCACATTTGAACAGTAGATAGGCATGGAAATGAGACATTGCAAACTGATACTGAGAATACCACAAATTAACTGAATGGAGGAACGCACCAAGTTTTGGTAAGTTTTTCAGTTCCAGCATCAAATACATGTACAAAGTGTTTCCTTTTCAACCACAAAATTAGCTGTTTGCATAGCTTGGATTACTTTTAGATTTAAAGTAAAACTATAGGCAAAACTTCTTTTTCATTTTGGACAGAGTAAGGGAGGGTTATAACCCTTGTCAATTTTTTTTTTTCATATGTGTCCCATTGGGAAGCTTTACCCTCACATCCTGTCTTATAGCCAAAATAGAAAGTGAGAGATAATCCCCCTAAATTAAGGTAATCCCTTGGGCACCCCCAGGTCACTAAAACTAGTGTCCCAATTGGAACATTTCCCCTCTCTTACATTTCTGGGGACAACTCAAAATTTGGGATTTTCTTTTACTTTCACATTCAATGATAATGGTAAACAGGACAAATAGGGTGAATCTCCCTAACGGGGACACAGACAGCAATAAAAACATAAAAGATGTTTTAATTCACCTTCATTGTGTCCAAAACTAGAAAAAAACCTTTTACCTTTAGTTATACTTTAAGAGAGTCAATGTGTTTCTTTAACCTCCCTAGAGGTATTCCTGAGTGTAGCTCGGGTTAAAGTTTCAGCACCACAAGCGGTAACGCCGAGCTACACTCGGGAATACCTTGCAGCGCTGCTCCGGGATCTCTTCTTCATTTACCTTGTCCTGCGCTCCTGCGATGTCCCCTGTAATGTCCTCCGGCCGATGCAGGCATCTGTCTTCCGTGTTCTGTTCCCTGCAATGTCAGGACGTACGGGGATGTAATCGGCGGGAAATTTAAAAATGTCAAAAAGTGACATTCATTAAATACACTAAAATCACATAGTAAAACATTACTGTATCAAACCATTTCACATACATTTTGTCCCGAGTGCTTTGTCCTGTGCCCTGCCTACATTTTTACTGTTTTTTCTGCCTTGAAACGGAGAAAAGTCCATGGCGTCCAAAAAGCGTCCCTTTAGGTCAAAATCGGTTTTAGACCAGCTAGAGAACAGTGATAGTAAATTAGAACTACGGTATTTTTCACTCCATAAGACGCACCTGACCATGAAACGCACCTGACCATGAAACGCACCTAGGTTTTAGAGGAGAAAAACAACAAAAAAAATATTCTGAACCAATGGACTGCAGACATAGAACAGGAACACCGGAGACTGCAGACATAGTACAGATGACCAGAGACTGCAGACATAGTACAGAGATGACCAGAGACTGCGGACACAGTACAGGAGATGACCAGAGACTGCGGACACAGTACAGGAGATGACCAGAGACTGCGGACACAGTACAGGAGATGACCAGAGACTGCGGACAGACTGCGGACAGTACAGGAGATGACCAGAGACTGCGGACACAGTACAGGGGATGACCAGAGACTGCGGACACAGTACAGGGGATGACCAGAGACTGCGGACACAGTACAGGGGATGACCAGAGACTGCGGACACAGTACAGGGGATGACCAGAGACTGCGGACACAGTACAGGACAGTACAGGGGATGACCAGAGACTGCGGACACAGTACAGGGATGACCAGAGACTGCGGACACAGTACAGCGGATGACCAGAGACTGCGGACACAGTACAGCGGATGACCAGAGACTGCGGACACAGTACAGCGGATGACCAGAGACTGCGGACACAGTACAGCGGATGACCAGAGACTGCGGACACAGTACAGCGGATGACCAGAGACTGCGGACACAGTACAGGGGATGACCAGAGACTGCGGACACAGTACAGGGGATGACCAGAGACTGCGGACACAGTACAGGGGATGACCAGAGACTGCGGACAAAGTACAGGGGATGACCAGAGACTGCGGACAAAGTACAGGGGATGACCAGAGACTGCGAACACAGTACAGGGTTGACCAGAGGCTGCAGACAGTACAGGGGATGACCAGTGCAAGAGATCTATAAACACAAACTAGAACAACTTCCATTTTGCTGTTCACAAAATAAATATGTACATAAAATTTCATAAGATAATTTAAAATGTTCATCAATTCATGAAATAAATAATATGAAATAAATAAATAAGTGCAATAATATTAATCCGGGAGAAACAAATCACTTACAGGGATGACCAAAGACTGCGGACACAGTACAGGGGATGACCAGAGACTGCGACACAGTACAGCGGATGACCAGAGACTGCGGACACAGTACAGCGGATGACCAGAGACTGCGGACACAGTACAGCGGATGACCAGAGACTGCGGACACAGTACAGCAGATGACCAGAGACTGCGGACACAGTACAGGGGATGACCAGAGACTGCGGACACAGTACAGGGGTGACCAGAGGCTGCAGACAGTACAGGGGATGACCAGTGCAAGAGATATATAAACACAAACTAGAACAACTTCCATTTTGCTGTTCACAAAATAAATATGTACATAAAATTTCATAAGATAATTTAAAATGTTCATCAATTCATGAAATAAATAATATGAAATAAATAAGTGCAATAAATATTAATCAGGGAGAAACAAATCACTTGCAATAATTTGTGTCAAATAGAAAATGTTCTGCCTCCAGCAGGGGAATTATTATGACTGTCTGGCCTGCAGTATCAAATTTGACCACTAGATGGAGCCGGTAATTTACTGTTTTACAGAAACTAGAGACTGTTTAGATAAGATTTAAGAGTTAATAAAAATTTCCATTCTGAGAGAAAGGAAAGAGATTCATCTTGGGAGCTCAGCCTCCATCTTGGAAACTATGAGAGAAGGAGCCAGCTATCAGAGCACATGTTGGACTAAGATTTGTATTCCCTAAAGGCAGCATCGCTGGTGAGAAACACTTATCACCATCTATAGCCTATTAATTTGTGTTTTCTGTTTGTTCTTACATAGATTGTATGTATTTCTCATCTCTTTTTTCCTAATAGTTTCACCCACCCTGTTTTGTTAATAAAACATCAAGGTTACATTCAGTCTGGCTTATTGCAGAATAGGAGGGTTTAGCTACATGTGGAGTTACACACAGGGAAACATGTACCGAGGACAGAACAGAAACCACCAAATGCTACTAATAAAATCAATTATACAAAACCTTGTGCAATAAATGTTAAAATGAAGGGGTAGGTTTACTAGAACTGGAGAATGCAAGGACTGGTGCAGCTCTGTATAGAAACCAATCAGCTTCCAGGTTTTATTGCCAATGCTTAATTGAATAAGTTGAAGCTGATTGACTGCCGTGCACAGCTGCACCAGATGTGGCACTCTCCAGTGTTAGTAAATCAATCCTATAGTGTATAATGCTTCAATGCAATAATGGGCCACGATAAATGTATATACAGTAATTCAGTGTCCCAGTAATTCAGTGTCACAAAATTCATCTCAGTGAGTGTTCATTGCAAGGCGAAGGCATCAAAAGTGAAACAGCCATCAGTTACACAGAATGACTCACCAAAAATAATGGCCCTCTAATCAATGGGCCAACCCTTGCTCAATCAATTCACCACAATGGTATATCTTCCAAGAGACATTCTCGGTATGACAGAAATATCACATCTCTAACATAAAGGTCAGAAATGCATGAGGACTATACAGGGTAACTATCAGATGAACCCCCTCAGGCAGGTATCACAACTCTTCAAGACATAAATGGACTAGGGAATGAGGAAAAGGACAGATTTATAGTGCAATACTGCCACACCATTTTATTAAAAAGGGCATAAAGGGTGCTCACATTAGGAAAAAAAAATATAGCATGTATCAACCAAACGCTGTCTGCCAGCAAGCACTTGGCTGATACAAGCTGTATATCATTTTTTTCTCATATGATGATCCCTTAGTAGCTTTTATAATAAGACTGTCAGCCAGTATTGCACTATAAATCTGTCCTTTTCCACTCTCCCCAGCCCATTTATGATGTCTTGAAGAGTTTCTATGCCTGTCTGAGGGGGTTCACCCTGGATAGCCCACCTGCATTTATGACCTTTGTGATATCTCTGTCATAATGAGAATGTCTCTCGGAACATATACCATTGTGGTGTATTGATTGAGCAAGGATTGACCCATTGATTAGAGGGACATTATTTTTTAGTGAGTTATTCTGTGTGACTGCTGGAGGTTTCACTTTTGATTTTCTGCACCTTGCAATAATTTTTATTATATATCAAGAATCTCAATACAAGACACTGTTTGAAAATTATTATTAATATTTATCATGGCACATTATTGCACAGGACACTTTAAGGTACTGGACACTTTGTTGAAACATTTATCGCACAAGATTTGGATGAATTGATTATATGAGTAGCATTTGGTGGATTTCTATTTGACACTATTTATTGCAAGTTATTTATTTATTCCTAATTCATATTTATTGCAGTTATTATTTATTTATCTATTTCATGTATTGATGCACATATCAATTTATCTTATGAAATTGTATGTGCATATTTATTTGGTCAATGTGGAGAGGGGATTTCTTCTTTTCTTCTTTTATCAGCAGATGCTACCTTAGTGTTTGGAGATCTGTGGTGCAGGTATATATATATTTTTTTGTCTACACTCCTATATGTGTATGCCTTTTTTCTGTACCTAGTGTCTCATAAAGGCTCTGATAGTGAAATAAATATTTCATATTTAATACTTTTTACTTAATACTTAATATTTTTCTTTTATTGCAGTGTCTAAAATGTAATAATCTTTTCACTCAATAGCACTTAAATTTTCAGTCTGCAGTGCAATGACTGGCGATATTCATCATTTTAGGAATAATTTTCTGCAAGCAGAATATTAATTACAGCAATTATTTAACACGAAACAAATAAATTATTAGAAATATTTTTTTTTTTCATTTATTAAAAAAATTAGTCCCATTTACCGTAATTTGTGTTTTTTGAGTAAGAGTGTTTGTTTATATTTGTATTTAGATTGTGCAATAAAAGATTTTTCTTAATGACGATTTTGCAAAGTTTTTTTTTTTTTAACTCCTTTTTAAAATTTGCATACTATTGCCCTCCGAAAGATTTATCCCTCTTCCTGACCAGGCCATTTTTTGCGACAAGGTGCTGCATTACTTAATTGTGCAGTCATGCAATGCTGGACATAAATAAAATATGTCATTGTTTTTCCCCACAAATAGAGCTTTCTTTTAGCGGTATTTTATCACCTCCTGTGTTTTTCATTTTTTTTGCACTATACATGAAAAAAAAAATGACATTTTAAGAAAAACAGCAATATTTTTTACTTTCTGCTATAAAAAATATCCAATAAAAAAACGTTAAAAATCAAAGTTCTTCATAAATTTAGGCCAAAATGTATTCTGCTACATATTTTTGGTAAAAAAAAAAAACCCCAATAAGCGTATATTGATTGGGTGGCACAAAAGTTATAGCATCTACAAATGGCAGTATCTATACTGGAATTTTTTTTTTTTTTAATACTAGTAATGGTGATCAGCGACTTATAGTGAGACTGCTATATTGCGGCAGACATTTTTACACTAACTGACACTTTGTGGGAACCAGTGACACTAATACAGTTATCAGTGCTAAAAATGTCATTGTATTAATGTCACTGACTTGGAGGGGGGTTAAACATCTAAGGCAATCAAAAGGTTAATTGTGTGACTAACCTGTGTTTTTGTGTGCACTGTGTACTGTTTTTACTAGGCAATCTGCTAGATTTTATTTTCTGAATAAAACCTAGCAGATCTCTGTTGACATAACACAGCTCTGCTTTGTTTACACAGTCAGAGCTGTGCTATGTCAGTGTCTTGGACCATCAACCGGTGCCAGTGCTCATCTATTGGCCCCCACCTGTTGATTGGTTTCTGCTGGGTCCAATCAAAGAAGAAGCAGCACTCCGGTGGCAGGCGTGCACCCTCTGTGGCCGAAATGCAAAATGATGTTTATTTACATAATTTTGCATAGAACATTAGCCCTGTAGCAGTAAATAGGGCGAAGGTCAAGTGGTTAGGAATTATTTTCTGCAAGCAGAATATTAATTACAGCAATTATTTAACACAATATAAATATATTATTAGAAATATTTAAAAACATTTTGTTAAAAAAATATAGTCCATTTTAATTTGTGTTTGTTTGCTGAGTAAGATTGTTTATATTTTATTTAAATTGTGCAATAAAAGATTTTTCTTAATGCAAGAGTGCAAAGTTTTTCTAACTCTTTATTTTTAATTTGTATACTATTAGTTGTTATTGCATTGTATAAGAAAAACAAAAGAAAAGGGGAAATGGTGGAAAGGATGTTGTGGAGAAGAAGGGTATGAATACAATCACACCTATTTAAAGTGCTTCTAAAGGTTGTAATTAAATAAAAAAAAAAAAACATACTTACCTGCTCTGTGCAATGATTTTGCATAGGGCAACCCCAATCTTCTTATTTTTGGGTCCACTGTCAGCGATCCTGGTTCCCGATCAACACTCCTTTAGTGGGCATTGTCCATTCACACACAGAGTGCGGCTCGGCCCTGCCCCCACTCTCTCCGCATTGGCTCACTGGCTGTGATTCACAGCAGCAGGATCCAATGTCTCCTACTGCTTATGAACCAATGTGGAGAGATCTCATGCATGTTACTGAATCGAGATGGGGTTCAAGTAAGTATAAGGGGGGCTCAGGAGGGAGCTGCACCCAGAAGGTTTTTTCACCTTAATGCATAGAATGCATTAAGGTAAAAAAACCTTCTGACTTTAGAACCACTTTAAATAATAAAATTGTATAGTATAAGTGCTCCTTAAATAAACAAGAATAATAACAGCAGAGTTGCAGTATATACAACAGTACTGATCTTGAGCATGCAAAAGACCATTGAATCATTCTACTAAACAATATTCATAAATATGTGAATTTGCATTAATACAAAGGACATTATTAACCTCCCTAGAGGTCTGATTATGTCCATATTTCTGTGCTCAAAGCGGTACATTTTTTTGCATGGAAATATGTTTTTTTTTTTTTATTCTAGGCCTGTAATTTTTAGGAATAACTCCCTGAAATCTGTCCGAACAAGAGTCTAGTAAACATCCCGGGTATGATAAAACTAGAAACACAAAATCATAAATTATAATTTAATAAATAATCATAAACAATAATAATAATAATAATATAAGAATACATTTAATTCAATAATATAATTAAACCAAAAACACTGAAATTTGAAATATAGCGCCAAGTTCGCACATCACTGAGCAAAGTCGCAAAATCGTTTTCAGTGTCTGATGACGAATTTCCCCACGAATCATTATCACTCAATTCTCCAAGTGGTTCTGATTTACTATCGCTGTTCTCTAGCTGGTCTAAAAACGCTTTTGACCTAAAGGGACGCTTTTTGGACGCCATGGACATTTCTCAGTTTCCA